TTGAAATGTCTTTGCAGATATGGAGACCATTCTAAAGTAGTAGCTGCTCAAACAAGTATACAGCAGAGTATACAGGAGAAGTTGAATGAATGTGATTTATGGAATAGCCAGCATGTGAAGGCATTAGATGCTGTCAGAGGATCTCATATTGCTTCTATGTGTACTGAAATTGCCAAGTCGTTAGACTTTGGTGAGTAGCATTTAATAGTATGTGTATTGGGATAGTGAAGCCCATGTTTTGAAGATTAATTTCCTAAATCTTTTTTAAATTGGTAGTAAGTAGTCTTACGACTTAAGCTAACTTACTGGGATTTACTGTTTACTGGGATTGCTGTATTATTATACTCTATGAGTAATGTTATTAATCTCCTATTCAGAAAAACTATGTTTGTTATATGGATTATTGTTTTAAAGTTACACTCTGAGTTGATACTTGTAGGTGTAATATGAGGTTATTACGAGGATAAAGACAGTACAGCGAAAGTATTGACCAACACGTAGCGTAACCAGTGTTCGAAATTAACTGAAAATCATAAAAGGCCCGAAGGACCTATGTCAAATTGAAACTGTAGGTCCTTCTAGCTAACTGTAGGTCCTGATATTTAACAAACAAAGACTAAACGGATAATAAAAGCTTGCAATTGCAAAACCTTTATTTACTAATTAATCAGATATATTATCTGCAGCCTCAAACAGGTCATCATCATTTCTTTCATCGTCACTAAACTCATCAAAATCTTCAGAAAAAACACTGTCACGATCACTAGCCGACTCTGAATCTGACATGCATTTTGCATCGTGTTCACAATCATTGGCGTCAGCCTCAGCTTCTACAAGGATCAATTCTGCTGCACGATCCTCGACAAGGCCGGCAATACATCACCTTGTTGTTGTTGTCAAAAAGTAACCAGTCTTTGAACTCCGCCTGCCAGCTAATTTGGAATGTGCGTGGTTTACGCCTAGACCGTTCGTATTGTGGCTGTTTGTCACGCTTTTCTTGTGTAGTTTTCAGCGTGTTTGATGCAAATCAAAGATGGCGGAACATAAAATGTAAGCGCGAATTCTATTGGTTTGAATCGGAGGCTTGATCGGCCTACAACCAATCAGATCGTTTGTTACAGTTCCCACGTTTGGCGCATTTCGCGATCATTCGGCAAGCTTGAATTATGACTCGTATGCCCAGGTCGATGAGTGATGCCATTTGTTGATCAAACGTGCAAGAAAACGCAATTTTGAAACAATTCTGAAGTTACTATCGATATTTATTGACTCTCATGTGCGAAGCACAAAATGGGAGTCTTTGCAGTTAGTGTGTCTGTATGTGTGTATGTGTGTATGTGTGTATGTGTGTCCGACTGTTCCACTGCTATCTCAAGAACCATACATCGGTTTTTGATGAAACTTGGTGCATAGATGCTCTGGGCCAATGCGCAGATTTGATTAGGTTTTGGTAAAAATCCATGCTCGTTAATTACCTAATTTGCATGATAATTAGCTAATTTTTAGCTGTTCTATGACTGTTCCACTGATATCTAAAGAACCACTCATTGGATTTTGATGAAACTTGGTACATAGATGCTCTGAACATATGCGCAGATTTGATTAATTTTTGGTAAAAATCCGTGCATATTAATTACCTAATTTGCATGATAATTAGCTATTTTTTAGTGGTTCCATGACTGTTCCACTGATATCTAAACAACCACTCATTGGATTTTGATGAAACTTGGTACATAGATGCTCTGAACTAATGCTAGGTTTTGATTAGTTTTTGGTAATAATCCGTGGATACTAATTACCTAATTTGCATAATGATTAGTCAATTTTCGGTTTTTCCACTGATATCTCAAGTACTAATCATCACATTTCAATGAAACTTGGTACATAGATGTCATACGACACTGCACAGACCTGATAGTTTTTATGGTAATATCAGTACATATTAATTACCTAATTTGCATAATTAATTAATTTTCAGCATTTGATATAGTAGTTAGCATTACATTTC